GGTCACTTAAAAAAGACGAGATAGGAACGGTTAAACAACTGACATGTTTTTTGAAGGAACACGCTCGCACCCTATCACATTACAAACCTCCGCATGGGGAATCGAAACGTTCATTTAATACCAAGGCTCTTACATCACTTTCTGAAAATTCAAAAAATTGTCCTTATTGTAAAGCTGATCATTTATTGTTGAAATGTGCGCAATTCTTAAATCTAACAGTCAAGAAACGATTGGAATTTGTAAAGACAAAAAAACTATGTTTCAATTGTTATCTCTTCGGTCCACACAATCAAGGACTGTAAAAGTTCTAATACATGCAGAAAATGTCAGAAATTTCACAATTCGCTCTTACATTTTGATCGAAATGAAGAAAATTTCGATAGAGCAAACGGCACATCGAATCAAATCACAAACAAGACTAATAAATTAAGCAGTAATCTTTCTCCAAATGCTGATACATTTACTCCAATGGCAAGCAGCCAAAAGGTTAGTGACACTAATGAAACCAACCAAGCAAAGTCCATTAACGGTACTGCGCTGAATATTTCCAGTTCTTTTAATAAACAAGTTCTACTTTCAACTGCAATTATTTTCGTTAAGGGTAATGATGGAAAATTTATCTCGTTGAGAGCCTTGCTGGATTCCGGTTCTCAAAATAATTTCATTACTAAAGAAGAAGTGCTGAGTTATTGAATTTGAAGAAAGAAAAAATAAACGCTTCTATTTCAGGTATCAATGGTACAGTTATGGGTGTTAAGGAAAAAGCTATAGCAACCATCGCTAACGCTACTAGAGATTTTATTCGTACCTTACAATTTTTTGTTGTTCCAAAAATAACTCGCGTAACGCCTGCTAGATATATAAACATTTCTGATGTTAAGCAGTTGCAACTCATTGGTTTAGCTGATCCAGAGTTTATAAAACCTGGTCAAATACATGTTTTATTATCTAACGAAATATTTTTTGATTTACTGGGAACAAATAGAATAAATATGCAAGACCTGATTCTCCATCAGTCAGTTTTTGGATACATTGTTAGCGGGTCAGTACGCATGCCGCAGCAAGGCAGTGTTGTTGATAATTTTGTGTGGGTTTGTGGAAAATGGGGATAATTTATCTGACAACATGAGAAGGTTTTGGGAGATTGAAGGTATTAATGAAGCAAAAAAAGTGAAAAGTCAGGAAGAGGAATTTTGTGAACAGCACTTTCTTCGTACACACGACACACGAGGCAAGATGATGGCAGATATGTAGTGGAAATGCCAATTAAGGAAGGAGGAAGGACTTAGCCTTTTAGGGGAATCGAGAGAAAACGCTAGCAAAAGACTGAATTATCTACTTAAACGCTTCACTCGCAATCCCGCAATGAAACACTTATACGAAGATTTCATTAAGGAATATAATGAATTAGGCCATTCCGAAGAAATTGATGAAGGGGATAGCTCTAGTTTCTCATATTATCTTCCTCACCATGGGGTTTTCAGGCCCGAGAAACGAGAAACCTAGCACTAAACTTAGGGTAGTGTTCGATGCCACTGCTCCTACGACTACTGGAATTTCTTTCGTTAAACGATATTCTGCTGAATGGAGGGTTAGTTCAAGACGAACTATTTGATATTATTTGCAGATTTCGAACGCATAAAATTGCCTTCACAGCAGACATTGTAAAAATGTATCGTCAGATTTTGATTAAAGAACATCAAAGAGATTTATTACGCATCTTATGGAAGAGTAGTGAAGAAGAACCAGTTAAGGTCTATAGACTGAAGACTATAACTTACGGTACTTCCAACGCACCATATCTAGCAACACGCACACTTAATCAATTAGCAGAAGACGAGAAAAACAATTTTTCGTTAGCAGCGCCAATAGTACAAAGGGATTTTTATGTCGATGACGTACTCACAGGAGCCCATACTCTAATAGAGGCTAAAGAATTACAGTCGCAATTGATTAACCTATTATCACGTGGAGGAATGCGTCTGCACAGATGGTGTGCTAATCATCCTGATCTTTTGCAGTTTCCGGATGGACAAGAGGAATATTCTTTCAGTAATTTCGATGACGATCAGAGCATCAAAACTTTAGGATTATTATGGAATCCAAAGATAGATTGTTTTTCGTACAAATCAACCATCAAGAAACCAAACTACTTACACAAAGAGAACAGTGTTGTCTGATATTGCTCGCATTTATGATCCATTAGGACTGCTTGGTCCAGGGATAACAAAAGCAAAAATCTTCATCCAAAGACTTTGGTTATTGAAGCTTGATTGGAACGATCCGCTACCCGAAAGGATAATTAAGGATTGGCAACTTTTTATTGATTCAATGCAATCTATCAACAATTTGAAAGTCAGTAGTAGATATGTTTTACAGGATAGTTTTTCTGATATACAAATTCATGGATTTTCAGATGCATCAGAACACGCATACGGAGTAGCCATCTATTTACGCTGTAGAAGTGACAATAATTTATCTTCACATTTGCTTTGCAGCAAGTCCAGAGTAGCTCCACTAAAACCGCTGACAGTACCTCGACTGGAACTCTGCGCAGCTGTACTGCTAGCACAGCTTGTTGCAAAGGTGGTGCCTTTATTGAAATTGGACATCAGTAAAATATGTCTGTGGTGTGACTCAACCATAGTGTTAGCATGGCTTCAGAATCCCCGCATGTACTAAAAACTTTTGTTGCTAATCGAGTGTTGCAGATCCAAGAGCTAACACATACATGCCAGTGGAATTATGTGCGTTCAGAGGAGAACCCAGCAGACCTTATTTCCCGAGGACTGAATTTTGACAAGCTGCATGATGCTGATCTGTGGTGGAAAGGTCCTCCATTCTTGAGTGAAGGTGTCATACCTAACAAGAACATTGACTTTGAACAATTAGAAAAAACAGAGACATTTTCTAATGAACTGAGAAAAAGAACTGACATTGCTTGTTTATGCACTTTGCCTTCAAAATTTATTGATAATGTCCTAGATATCACTAACAATTATTTAAAATTATTACGTATTGTTAGTTATATTTTCAGGTTCATTTGGAACTCTAGGTGTGCAAAACAGAAAGGAGCACAGAGAAGAACAGGAGGAGTAAGTTCAAAGGAGTTAAATGAGGCAGAATCCTTTTTAGTAAGAGAGGTTCAAAAATGTAGTTTTTATTCAGAATTACAACTCCCTCGCACAAGGTAAACCCATTAATAATAAAAGTAATTTACTTTCTTTGAACCCTTTTTTGGATGCAAATAATGTAATGAGAGTAGGAGGCCGATTACAAGGGGCCAATGTAATGTTTTCACAAAAACATCAAATAATTTTGCCTGTTAAATGCAAACTAACTAAGCTGATTGCTGAGCATTATCATCAGAAATATTTACACGTAGGTTCGCAAGCATTATTGTGTTTTATGAGACAGAAATTTTGGCCATTACAAGGTAGGAATTTAACTAGAAAGATTACCCATGAATGTATAATTTGTAGTAAAAATAAACCAGTCACTATCGAACAAATTATGGGGTCATTACCTGCAGAACGCGTAAATCCAAGCTCACCCTTTAATCATGTCGGCACCGATTTTTGCGGTCCATTTTTTTATTAGGTACAAGGGACAGAGGAAAGGAACTCTTCATAAGGTATATTTAGCTCTTTTCATTTGCCTTATAACAAAGGCAGTGCATCTCGAACTAGTGAGTGATCTCACCACTGACGCATTTATTGCCACCTTAAAGAGATTTATTGCTAGGCGCGGAAAATGCTCAATCATTTTCTCAGACAACGCAAAAAACTTCGTTGGCGCAAATGCCGAATTGCAAAGAATTAACAATTTAATTAGAAATCCTGACAAAAAATTAGCAGATTATTTAGGTGAAGAAGGAATAGTATGGAAGTTTATTCCCCCACGGACACCTAATTTTGGTGGACTATGGGAATCTGGAATAAAATCCGTGAAATATCACTTAAAGCGGATTGTAGGTAATGCAAGGTTGACTTTCGAGGAGTTATTAACTGTAGTAACTCAGATAGAGTCTGTTTTAAATTCTCGCCCTATTACTCCCTTATCTTCCGATGATGTAAATGATTTAGAGGCATTAACACCAGGTCATTTTCTCATTGGAAGACCCTTGAATGCTATAGTAGAACCCGAATTAATTGATATACCTGAAAACAGACTCTCAAGATGGAAACGAACTACCAGATTTGTCCAGTTGATATGGAATCGTTGGCATAGGGACTATTTAAACACACTACAACAGCGTTCAAAATGGAAGGTAGAACAAACGAATATTAAAATAGGTATGCTAGTACTAGTTAAGGAGGATGAGCTTCCTGTCTGTAGATGGGTGTTAGGGCGCATTACAAGAATTTTTCCTGGAGTTGACGGTAAGGTTAGAGTAGTAGAAATACAGACAGCAAAGGGCATCATTAAGCGTGGAATTACAAAAATTGCAATTTTACCCCAAGAAGAAGCTTCCTAAGTTAGTTAAGTGTTAGCTTATTATTATAAAACTTGTATTGTACATTGTATTGTGTATAAAATTTTGTATTGAAAATTGAATATTATTATATTGAATTAAGAGATATTATTCGTATTGCTTTATTGTATAAGGTAGTAATTGTACAATTTTGTAGGTTATTATGAGTATTATCGCACGAAATTATTGAAGTAACCCTTCAATGCCGGGGGGTATGTTAAGTCATTAAGACTATTTAACTGTAAGATTACGTCATTTTTTCTCTTCTTGGCGCCTTGCATGGCGCAGATGTTCATTACAGCAACCCTGTAAACGCTTACTCAGTTTTATTTTTTATTGCTGTTGTTGTTAGTAGTAAGTCATCGCTTGAAAGATGGCACGCATTTGATTAAAGTTGTCGAATAAAATATTTAGTACAGTCCACTTCTAGTTAATTTGAAATTGTTGTATAACAACGCACGCATCGCATGAACAACGTCTAAATACTTAAATTCATATTTTTCAATTGCAAGAACCTTAGAGCATAGACGACCTTGAAAACTATTTACTAACAAAAAAGATTAAACAATTTCAAACTTTAAAGAACCTAATTTTTGAATTTTCTTCTGTATTTGTCCATTGCTTCACTGAAGTAGTCAGTAAGAAAACGTTTTTCAGAGTTCACTTTAATATTTTCTTCTTCCTTATCAGATTTAAAAGTAGCAGCTGAAGTCAATAACACTATTTTTCAATAGGTAAACAGAAATGAGAAATGACAATAACAATGAGAAATTTTTTTAGCACTTATTAACAATGAAATATTTAAACATCAAGTAAAACAGGTTTCTTTAATCTTGCACATTTCCAAGCCGAGTCCATAAGTTTTACAAATCCAGTATCTTTCGGTTTCTCTAAACCACGATGCAAACGTTCTTTCATGACAGCAACAAACTCACGGTTGCTCAACTGTCCATCCACTAACATGAAAAAGACAACATAGCATAAATTTAATCATATAAGGTATTATTCATTAATAGCATTTATAAATTATCTGTTTATATGATAACAAATATATTGAGTTCTGTTTTATCACAATTTTTATTTAACATGGTATAGAAAGAGAGAGGTATTTTTATTTATTTAGTTATTTACTTTGTGAATGTGATATAAGTCAAGTCTTAATTAACTGGATTGAAGACTGAACAAGCTCTGTCTTAAACAAAAGGTAAATTTGTTTATTGCGGAATTGTGCAAAAATTACAACACAAACTATGAACGTAAAATAAAACTGTCTATTGAAAATACAAAAAGGAAAAGAGAAATTTGTGGGATAATAGCAATAAAAATAGATGATGTCATAATATTTGAGATTCCTTTTGATTTGTACACAATTTAGTTGTTCATAATCTGGAACATAAAAACACTATTATTAAGTCACCTGTTAAAAGTAAATTATGTAAATCAAGTGGTGTATTTAATTATGGCAAAGCACACGAGGGCTATCTGCCTAAAGGAAGGGATGCCTTCGTGGAGGACTTTCTAAGGGAAACTGGCTCGTATACACGTTACACATGGGGAAAACCACGAAAACACCCATGCAGCCAGCCCGTTTGCAGGATTTGAACCTCGGACCGAACTACCAGTGTTCAGCAACTTTACCGCTCGGCCGCCCTATGTAAATCAAGAGTACAGCCATTAATTGTCTAGTTAACACAGATTCCTATCAATATATAAGCATAACGTGGATAAAAACAAACAGTAAGTGCACCTTTAAGTAAGAAAAGAACAGATAAAGAAAATGCGTATGTACTTAACAAAGATAATTTTGAATGCAATAATTTACATAACTAATTTAACTTCTCCAAGTTAAACTGTTTTAAAATACAGGTAAGTTGTTAATATAGTACAGACTCTGAGTACAGACTTGGTGGGACTTTGGCGATTCTGAATTTTACATTGTTAGTTTAAATCTAGTAAGATGCAAAAATTATAGTATTAAAAATGTGAAATAGCTGTTAACATAATGAAGCATTTATGGCATTTTATCACAATTTTAATTTAACATGGTATAGAAAGAGACAAGTATCAAAGAAATCAAAATTAGAAGAAGAAAAGAAATCAAAATGTATTAAAAAAAAGAAAAGAAAAGAAAGCACAATATTTATTTGTTTGCTTTTTTAAATATTTCTTCCAAATGTATGTTAAGTTGCTTCATTTTTTCTGCTAATACTTTATAAACAGACATAAATTCTTCTTCAGTTACAAAGTCCTATTGTGCAAATCCTGTAATTGCCTTGTCTAAAACTGTCACTCAATTGTCATATGAAATTTTTTCATACAACTTCTCTCTCACTTTTTTCCCTATTGGTTGCAATATTTTATGGATTTATAAAACATACTACATATTTTGTTGTCTATTAGTCGATTGATTGTTGGGGCACTGCCTTTGCAATGGAGAACTTCTGTTATATCATATTCATTTATTACCACTTCTCCATATTTCCTCAAAAAGTCCACTGATGGGAAAATTTTGCTTTCTGTTTGTGATATCTGAAAACCTTCAAATTAACAACTATCATCATAAAGCTTAGCTAGAGTCCACTATACACTATTGGCAATGCATGGTGACTAGAAACGGTTGTTCTGCTAAATTTCATTTTGCTTCTACCACGTATTGAAGAAATTAAACCTGAATGATATTAGCTATTTATTATACTTACATCATTTAAGTTTATCTGAGTCCTGAATAAATAAATTATCTCATACAATTATGGCTTAGCTGAATAACAAATCAGTTTTCTTAATTTAATTAATTACAATCTTTTGTCCATTTATAAAAGCTATCTTTTGCATATGGAAAGAAATTTCTGTTCAATTTCTCCTTATCAACACATTCAACACTTCACAGTGCAGTTGGCTGATGTCTGTAATCGTCATTAAGTATAATGTCAACATAAAAATTTACCATGCTGTTTGGTATTCAATTTTTAATATTAATAAAAAAATGTTTTAGACATTGTTGTGCGAGTCATTTCTCAAGCTGCCATGAGTTGATAGTAAAAGCAAAAAATGATTTGCCAGGTTAGTATCAGAGATATAAGCAGGTGTAAAATCAGCAACGAACTTAGGTAAATGTTTTGGTTTGAGATGTACGCCAAGCAGAAAGATGGATACATAGCTAAATTATTAATCATATAGATTTAGGTTAATAAAGGTTGTGTTTCTTCTTAGGCTTTAGTGCCCAAGTAAAATTAAGAATCTCTTTAAATACTTTATTATGAAAAAATGTTTACTGTGCATGTGTGAAGCATTAAGCATATACTAAAGCGAGATGCCGTTCTCGGAACCTAATACTTTCTCCCTTTTGTAAAAAATTTCAAATAAATAAAATAAAAAAATGCTGCAGTCCAGAGGTCTGGATATTGGGCATACAGATTTCAGACACTGTATTGTAGTAATTTTCTGTTCATTATAACATAGATTATTCCCTTTTTCCTTTTTTTTTTGGTTTGTTTAATCTATCCTTGGGTTAATCATGATTTTGAATTAACTATGTCGTCTTCAGCATTACACCTCAAATCAGGAATTGACTACTACCATTCAAGAAGTTAAAAATCATTACAGAATTTAATTCTTAAAAGACAGTTTCAGAAAGGGAAAAAACTTAGGATTTTTATTTATAATCAAGTCATATGATGGTAAAATTTTCTGTACTAGTACTGACTTACAAAATACAAACTTAATACTATTTGCAATAAAAATAACTATGCTAGCATAACTAAATAAAAGTATTTTGTATTTTTTTTTTTTTTTTTTTTGAGGGGGGAACTTTCTTTTAGCTATCAAAATTTTTGCTTTATTTTCTTAGATGAAGCGTATTTATAAAAATAATTTTAAATTAAGGACAAATAGAAAAACACGATAGTTAGGAATAGAGTGGCAATGAATAATATCTAATTAATAGTATATAAGCATATTTTTTACAGTTTTGTAATATCTTGCTTTCTTTATAATGGTTAATATATCTTAATGACAATTACAAATTGCTAAAATAGAAATACATATTACAAATTGATAAAATAGAAAATATATTCATGTAGTGATAAAACAAGCTAAGATTTAATCAAAGGCTTTGACATGATTGTTTTGGGACAAACTTCTTTTTTGTACATGGTTTTCACCTCTGGAACCAGTATTTCATTTTGCTGTTTTGTTTTTTCCTGAAGCCTATCTAGCATGTAATACAGAATTGGGTTTACATAAATATGAAAACCATTAATTGAGAAGAAGCATTATATTTTAAAAAGAAAGTAGAACTTACTGTTTTCATCAAATAAGGTAAACACTACGTCAATGACATGATCACTTAGATCTAAATGTGCCACAGTTTTAGCGACATGCTTTAAAGTTGCTAAAGAGAAAAAAATAAAATCAATCAATCAATAATCACACGTATTGGGCAATTCAAACAACACTATGTCATAAAAATCCATTATTTGGATATCTGAAGAATTTAGATAATTGGGTCGTGTTCTTTTAAATTTTTGAAGGTTCGTGAGAATGATACACAGTAGTGTAAACAGGGTTCCCTACTAAAGGGGTAAATACACTCCCTGTAAGTTGAAAACATAAGATTTAATGAGTGTTAACCTAGAGCTTAACAAAACAGATGAACATATTAGGTCAGATTATGACATGTTAGTAAAATCATACGTCATACGATGAATAACAGATGAATGTACTTGATTGGTACAACATGAGTTGAGTCTACTTATCAGTTCATTTGATTAGGCAGATACTTAGCAGCATAGTAAATTATCTGGGATACTATGCTAGATTCTTGTCACAACCCAGTCTTCCATAACAATATCCCACTGCAGTTTCCATGCTTTGAAATCACCACACCACTCTGGAATGATTCCCAATTGTTGGTCAAGTTGATAATGCACATTCGAAGGGCACACAGTCTTCACCTACACTGGGAGGCCACATAGTCTTCACTCACCACTACTTGGTTTCTACTGCGGAATTTTATATACCTTACCTTTTTCTGCTCAGAGCAGCTGCAAAGAAAGAATGCAAATTACTCAACAGAATGCCTTTTCCAAATGCATATTTTCCTCAAGAATTTGAACGAAGATGACAATTTTTGTAGATAAACGACATGTCTATGTATTTCTTAACTTCTTTTCATTAATGGTTATAACCTACATAGTTGCTGAACACTACAGGTCAATTTGCATACTATATACATTTATTTTATTTGATAGTTTCTTAAATGACATTTTCCCTTACATAATTTATATCAATAAAACAGTAAAACTAATTAAATAAGTTTACAGGAAGCTTAATTTCCCTCAGAAAAACATGACTGAGTTTCAGGCATCTACAGTCTGGATAACTGGATTTGTAAAAAATTATTTATACAGAATGAATAATATTATGTAAACTAAGCACTATAAGCCATTTCTATGTATTTCATATTCATATGAAAGAAAACTGTAAGGACACAAGAAATGTCCTTACAGACGTCTTTCCAAAACTTCTATATCATTACATCTGTTATGCTACATAATGTTATGCTGTCACATCTGTATCATCCACTCATCTTTAAAGATACTGCTGCTGAGTAAAGCATAGCATCTTTTATTTACCTACCAAATTTAATTAGTCTGTAATCACTTAGCAAAGCAAGTCATAAAGCAATAAACACATTTCTTAATGATCTAAATTTTATGACATTTTTAATAGGTCATCAATATGTATTAAAATATGTTCAAATTGTAATATTCAATTGCCAATTTTTATGTATGTTTTCAGTATTAATGAAATTCATCAAAGATATTTTTAATACTGTATGTTATATACCTCACACACAACCATTTATTTTTATTTATATATTTATTATATTTTGCACAAGTAGGAACCTTTTGTGAGCATCTAGTCAGGTTATCTATTAACTCTTTGCACTCAAGAAATGACTCTCACTCACTTTGTGATTTGATGCTGCAAATCGAAAGGTGATTCTCACTTACCATGTGATTTGATGCCACAACTCGAGAGATGACTTTCACTCACCACTTGGTTTGATGCAGAAACTTGATGCGCAGAAATAACTGTTTACATTTAGTTTCTACGCTTTTTCTGTATAATCTTATGAAGTAAAAAATTATACCCCTTTAAATGGAGATAAGATTTTCTTATCTATCACAAAGTCTGTTCTCAGAGAAATGAACCCGGAAAAAGGCATCAAACAATATATTATTGTAATACTTGCCCCGACAAGCTAGACATGCATCTTGGGAATTGTTAAATGAAATATCATTCACAGAAAGATTACAGAGACTAATATTTAAGAAATTATGTTTATAAAGAGGTAAAGCTATATAAAATGTTAAAATATAAAAATTCATGCATTAATTTGTGTGTGTTATGATTTTAAGTTACTGGTAAGAAATGCCTCAAAAAGGCTGCGAAACATCTTGAGTTGGTGGTGCACTGTTCAAAAAAGGCCCCAAGTGCAAAGGGTTATTTTGCAACCTCATCTGACAATCTTTCCTATTTCATAATAATATGGACATATTAATTAGACTGGATTGTTTAATCAAAGCTAAATTACAATTCTGATTAAGAGTATTTTGAAAGGAGGAATTCAAAGATTTTTTAATTTTTCTCTTACCACCAAACTGCTAAGAGGACTTCTAGATTGACAGATTTGAAGTTCTCCCTCCTACGAAAACTATACAGTAATGAATATATAAAATCAACAGTAAGTATAAAATCAACTGTAACAGAAGTTTTTACTTCAGTGAAGATTCAAACTCAAATGTTTTTTATACACCTAAATTTTCAAATGATTTACAGAATGATATTTAAAAAGTGCATTCATTCTGAAGAAAAACACAGTCATAGATGCTAAGATTCAAATTTAACAGTTGAGTAATCAAATCCACCTGTACTAATCCATTATATTTAATATTACATTTACACAAATACTTTAGTTTTCAGAATAAAATCATTAAGATAATCAAGGTTGTCTGAATTCAGTTTATATCAGGTCCTCAGATTTTCAGCTAAAAATGGCAAAATTAAAGCAAAAACATAATAGAAGCATATCAGGTACTACTCCAAATTTCTCAGTAATTTATATGAAATACACTGAAGTCCCACTGAATTAGGAATAGCTAGTCAATAACAAGTTTGGCCTCTTCTGGCCTTTATAGCTCAATGGCTGCCAAACGATGAAGCATAGATTCAATAAGCTTCTGGAAGCATTCTACGGGAATGGCTCGCAAAACATCGGATAGAGCTGTCTGTAATTTAGGAAGAGTCACTAGTGTTGTGTGATGAGGTTTCAAACCTTTTTCAAAAATGTCCAAAAGATGCTCTGTAGAATTTCAGTCATGACTTTTAAATAGCCAATTTATGACAGATTAGTTAGAAGAACGCTCATCCAACCAGGCAATAGCCAAACGGGACCTGCAAGAGGTGCAGTTATCTTGCTGGGATACTCCATTTCCATGTGAATGACAAAACAACATAAATGGATGGAGATGATCGCCCATCAACTCTATGTACCGAATCATATTGATGGAGGTTGGTACAAGTACCAAAGAATGCAAACACTGCCAAAAGAAAACATCCCAGACCATGGTTAAGCCACCATGGCCTTGTATAGTTCCAATCTGCCATACATTGTTTATGGCTTCATGAGTCTGACGCCATATTCTCAGCCTCCCATCCCTATTAATTAGTCGGAATCAAGATTCATCACTCCTTGCTACTCATTTCAAGTTCACCGGAGTCTATTCTCTGTATTCTTTCGGCCAGGCAAGAAGAGCAGCTCAATGGCATGCATTCAGCAAAGGTACTCTCATGAATATATGGCTTCCGAAGCCCATATGGTGAAGCGAGCATTGCACGATCCTTTTACTGAATGTACGACTGTCGCCCTGATTTATCTGGGTGGTAATTTGAGTTAATGTTTGGCTTCGTTGACTATGTATAATATGAGCCCTCTCACACCATGCTTGTTCTAAGTTAATTATCCTTTGCAATTTTACCTGATCACTAGTTCTCCCCCCCCCCATCCGAGTATTCTCGGTATAATCTTGACTGTCAACCTTGAAAATCCTAGCCCACTGAGGATTTTGGAAATTTAATGGCACATGCTTCGAGTGTCTACTGTCTGTCCGAGATTGAAGATGTCTAAATTAGAAGTTTTACCGATGCTGGTAATTAAAACATCTGATTAACTACAATCACAGTACTAGCTGTATGTGCATTTACCACAACTTCCTCACATGAGCACAGACGCCATGCAGCACTATAAAATTTTCATAGCCATGTCTATCCCTAATTTAGTGGCCCTTCAGTGTACATGAAAAACACTTTATGAAATTTAAGTAACGAATTACCTGCAGTATTAATATTAAATATGAGAAGTCACACAAAATAAGTAATTAAAGGTAATTCGTCCAAAAAAAAAAAAAAAAAACGTTTACTTGCCTTGATCTATAGAAGCTCCAGCAATATGATAAAAAGTCAAAGCCGTATCTACATCATTTATATCATTCAGAAAGTGGAAAAACAGCAAATAATCATCAAGACTTATACCCTGAAAATAACATGTTTAAATGGTAGTAATATTCTGAATGGCTTATTAAAACATATGATGATTTTTAAATCAACTTACTCTGGAATTCTTAAAGCGTTTTTTAATTCGCTTCAACATTTTGATATGCTTTTTCTCAGACAAACCAGCATACGTCAGTAGCAGGTCTGCAAAATCAACTTCCCTAATGAAACCTTCTGCATTTGGTTTCTTCCTTTGAAACTGCAGATAAAAACCAAATTTTAGCATCATACATTAGCATATACACTAAAATATCTGGGCTAACTAGAACCCCAGCTCATCCATACAACTGAAAACTTTGGTTTTTCTTTTCTTTCTCAACCACTTTTTTTACTTTTTTAGGATTATACATTTATTTACTATAACACAAATAATGAATTTTGTTCCTTCTCTTAACTCATTTAATTTCAACAAAATATATGCAATCACACACACACACACACACACACACAAAAAAAAAAAAAAATTATCCACAATTTATGAACAAATTACTTGGGTGGTTTGTGTTTATGTTGCAGCCCACTACAATAAAATATGGTTTTTATGATACATCAAACTTATTACGTTTTTCGCCCTTTCTGATTATGTTAAAGTTGGACAGTTTATGTAAATATAACCAAAACATTAATTTAAGAATTATTTAATCAAGGCTTATTAAAAGCAAAAGTACTAGATTTTTTTAAATACAATTTTACACACACAAAAAAAAAAAAAAAAAAAAAAAAAAAAAAAATTTGATACTACAAGGAAACATTTAGGTGAAAGAAAAAAAAAAAGATAAATAATAAGAAATATTTTCAAGAAAATAATTCTTTTGCAAAATCGAACTAAAGAATTTTATAATAATAGTGTACGCTATTAATCAGTTTGCCCATAAATATTGGATAAATTATTTTAGAAAAACAATGGATTTAGAATTGCATCATAACACTGAACCTACATGAACTAGTTATTAGAGTACATTTTTGCATTATATTTAAAGTAGAATTAAATGTTAATCCTTGGATGGACAAAATAGAACAAAAATTGAAAAAGCATTAACAGATATCTCTTAGAAATTACTTAAGAGAATTATCTTCTAAAGAAAAACATTTTTTAATTGATGATGATTCCATTACACTTACTTCTAGTGTCAAAATTTCAGTCTGAAGATGACGTTGAAACTCCAAAAATTTCTCAATAGTTAATTTGTTATCTAAATTTGGGCCAAAAAAGTAAGTGGACAAAGCACTGCCAAATCCTTTATAGATACTACCTGTATTAGAATGGTCTCGATGACGCATGCCGACACTAGTCTGGCTACGAATAATAGTTTGAACCTGTAAAGATTAAAAATTATGACAATTTAACAGGATTTTAATAAAAATTTGGGCTAACTACATTTTACAATATACTCTGAAAGCAATGTGAATTTACAAATAGAAGTATTTATACAAATAGAAGTATTTTTTGTAAAAGAAAATATTTCAGAAACTTGTTTTTTTCTAAGCCAAGTAAAAATTTAAATTGTTTTTCATTTATTTATGTATTTTGGACAGGATTTTATTTTTAAGCATTTGTTTAATTAAAATCATAGACTGAACATGAAAAAAAACTAACACCAATGACGGAAAAAATTAATATGTATATTATACTATGTAAATAAATGACAACTACCTTAATTTAGTTTAAGCTGAAAAGATATAAGTAACACATTTTGTTTTACATAAAAAAATAATAATTCTTTACTTTAACAAAGTAGAAACATAGCCTTGTTTTTAAAAAACAAAACTGTTAACCCTTTGTTAAATTTTTATAGCTTACCACTATGTCAGTATATGTTTAATAATTTAACTCACATTTCAAAAATTGATAGATTAAATAAAACAAACAAACAAACACACACACACACAACAACAACAAAATAAAAATAAATAAATAAAAAAATAAATAAATTAATAATAAATACTAAATAAAATTAAATATGCAACTTTGAAACTTACTTTATCAAACTCTTCATAATCAACATTTCCATCTCCATTTAAATCAAACATTCGAAATGCTATTTCAAAATGCCTTTTTGATGCTTATAAGAAGGAAAAAGAAAAAGAAAGAAAAAAAAAAAATAGTTAATAAATCACAAGAAGAAAAATACCTGAGAAATATTACTAGGTAAAGGGAAAAAAAACTTTCAGATTTCATTTTATACGCAACACATATAAACAAATTATATGCAATATATTGAAAATGAACTGCAAAGTAAAAATAAATATACAAATAAACAAAGATATAAAAGTTTGTAAAATAACAGTGAAATATATTAGAAAAATCAACAGCTATACAAATAATATAAAACGAAAAAGGCTAGTAAATTAAGCATTTCATAGATAATCTATTTTATTAAAGCATATAGGGGATATTTGTGGTAGCAATAAAAACTCTATGTATTTTGGGAAGATGTGCTAACAATCTCTCTTCTTCAACATGTAAAAATATCTCACATTTCAAATTTTTTAAAACCATTTCTGTTTTGTAAATGCATATTACATTCACATTAAATGTAATCTTGAAGTTTTCCATTGGTACTTCCAAACTGCTCTAAAATTCAAATTGGCATTTCTTTATTATATTTCTAGAAACAGCCACAAACAATTATCCAAAACTGAGAGTGAATTATTTCCCCACCAGTTAAGTTAAGATGTTTTATTTTCACTAAACAAAATCTAATTTCAGTGGGTTCTAGGTATTTTATCATTTAAACAAAGGTCTTTCTTTTTTCATAATAGTTTTTCGAGGTATTAAATTTATTTTAAAACAGAAGGTTTTGTTTAAAAAACTAAAATCTGAGTATTAGTACATATAGGAAAATGCTCCTATGAAGATTTTTCAGAATCTCAGGAGGTAACCTATAAATACATTTTCAGAAATATAAATTAAATCAATGAAATACTCTTGCACATTCTCATTTTTGAGAAAAACTGCAATCCCATCTGCAGTATTTAAATGTCAAATTTGTTTTGAGATTTAATCACTAAATTCGCAAGAATTCTATTAGTTGTGCAAAATTTCTTTCAGCAGTTAGGAAAAGTGATACTGATACTATTAGCTACTTCCCTGGAAAGAACTAAATACATAGGAAACTTCTATGTATTTAGTTGTACTGAAGAAAAAAGAGTCAATGTAAAAGTTGGGTTATCTTCACACATACACAAAAAGGCTACAAACATTAATTTATCTGGTTATGATAACATGCAATAGAAGTCAAACAATGAACTCTATCTTATGAATAATATTGTACTTGCCTATTAGCTGGAATCTGCCAATAAATCGCTAATAATCTAGCATTGCCATTATGTGATGAAAGATGTTTTTGACATAAGCAGATCAATCAAAGAGACTTCTTTTTAATTTCTATTGGGTACTGTTTAAAAATTGCATTCCATTCAAAATCACATCAGATTGTTAGTCTCCATAAGAACTTTGCTAAAAAGGATGGTAAGTGGTTTCTCTCAAACAAGTTCCCATTTCTTATTCTATTACATTGTCAGCTATTATTCATATAACATTTTCACTGAATAATTTTTCTTATTTGCAGGTTTGTTGCACGGAACCAGAACACAAATATTTTTGGCACACTACTTGTCAGGAAATAATGGATTGTTTCTGCTTCACTTCTCAATAATTTTAGTAAGCATGTGATGCAAAATGCAGTCAAAATTAGCAGACAAGTTAATGAATGAATCTTATTCCAAAAGCTTTCTACAGGAAAAACGTTACCAAATATTAACAAAAAAAGAAAAGTGTGTGTAGGGGACTAATCTTTCTAGACAAACTGGAACAGCTTCTAGAGCTGCTGAATTCTCACAGGAATTAGAGTTAAGGGTGGTATTTTTGGTAATGATCAGTAAGTATCAGCTAATACACATCAAACATGTTTATCAAAATGTTTACTTATTTATTTATTTTTAAATCTTAGTAACATATTCTAGCTATTTCTAACTTGCACATCTTTCATTTGTCTAATTACTTCATTTAACTTTTAAAAATTATATAGGTACCTTAATATTTTTCTCATAACAAATCTTATAACAAATGAAGAATTGAAAGAATCTAGGAGTTTTGATCATCAGTGTGCTCTGGCAAGTAGGTACAGCATAAAATATCAAAGCCTTTAATTTATCCTCATGCATAGCATATCTTAAAATCTTTAATTTATCTTTCAAATTTAATCAATCAATTTAAAAGTATCAAATGCACTTTTTAACAATTTTAATTTTACCTTTTAAAAATAATATATCTTATTCATACAAATTAAAATACAGTCAAAAGTCGTTAATCCGGACTCCTCGGGACTTCGGTGATTCCAGATTATTGATTTTTCCGGATTATAGATCATCAGTTTAAATCTGGTAAGATGGCATGCAGAAATTACAAAATTAAAAATATGAAACCGTAATTTATGAAATAAAGAACAATTATGATCTAAAGGGTATCAAAATTTACAAAAAGAAAAAGCTTAATATTTATTTGTTTACTTTATTGAACATTTCCTTCAATGTAAGTTGCTTCGTTTCATGTGATAATACTTTCTCTTTAATTCTATTAAACAGACATAATTTCTTGTTTAGTTACAAAGTTTCGCTGTTCAAGTCCTATAATTGCTGTGTTGAGAATACCGACTAATTTGTCAATCGAAATGTTTTCGTTTTCAATAACCTCTGGGTCACTTTCTTCACTATCAGAAGCGAATTATAATGACGAGGAACTTGATTTAAATCATATCAAAGACGGAGTACATCGAGATGAAATACTACGCTTAGTACGGAATTATAAACCAAATAAAATAAAAACATCTGCCCTGAAGATAAGGATAGTGCTGACAGATTAACTTCCAATCCGCCGCGTGAAATTGATAAACAGATTTCGGATTTCAAAACATACTTTCGCTTTGTAGATACAAATTACATATTAGTAAATATATATCGGAAATTCTATTTGACATAATCTTTCTAATCTATCATAATCTAATAATGACGTTTCTGCCCCCCCCCCCAAACAGATTTCGGATTTCAAAACATACTTTCGCTTTGTAGTAAATATATATCGGAAATTCTATTTGACATAATCGAAAGTTCAAGCTTACTTTTATAAAATTGCTCTAACAGTCTGCAAAAAATAATAAGCCGGATCCAATTCGAAGATTAAGGAACAACGCAATCTGCAACATTAACTGAATTAGATAACTTTAGCTTAGCGTATAACTCCGTTACACATTAAGCGCGCATGCGCACAAACATATTCGCAGCCGTAAGGGTCTTACGCGTTCTCGTAAACGCCTGTGCGCATGCGTGAACGCGACGCATGCGCAGAAAGTTGGTAGATTTGAGATCCGGATTATAGATCATTCCGGATTATGGGTGTCCGAATTAACGACTTTTGACTGTACAATTAAATTATAACAAATACAACTGATAATTTTTTAAGAATACGCAAGGTTTTGCTACAATTAATAAAAATGTTTCTAATGCCATATGGTAAGTAACTGATGATGAATACTTTTTGTTATTATTTTAATTTTAAGTAGCAAATTAATTTTAATGATTAGCCTATAATGTTTTCAGAATGTAATTTTTAAAACTTTTTAGTTATTTTAATTCATTATTTACCTTTTAATTATCAATCTAATTTTATTTATTAATATCTTATTTATCTCCTCATTATTTATTATTTATCTTCCTTTGTAGTGTTTAATACCTTCCATAACTCTCACACTTGAGCAATAAAGTCTGGCACCAAGCCTGCCACTCATTGATAATGATTGATGAAAAAAATCATTGTAAAAAACACTTTGAAAAATGCACCCACTAAAAACTTGAGTCAATAATACAAAAATCAGATACATTAAGATATGCAGAGCACTGAAATCTTTTGCAAATGAACATGTTCATGTGCTTTGTGTGCAGTGATTACAAGAAAAACCCTTAGTTAAATGATTTTTCTAAATAATAATAAAAGATAAAAAAAAATAATACTAGTATTTTTCTAACCTGATAAAATAGTTAGAAGAAACATGTATTCTGAAAATCCTATCAGTCCAGATGATCGAAGTTTGTAAAAGATACTATTTTCATTGGGAGTCAAAACACCTTTGGAATCCTGTAACTCATAAAATGTTATTCTTTAGCCTATGAAACATAATAAAACCTTCATTCTAAAAAAAAAAAAGTTTAATTATTGACATTTTTAATACAGAATTCTATTAATTTGCATACCTCAGAACCACAGATTGCATTACTGCAAAATTTTATGGTTTATAGCTCACTTCAATCTGCATTTAGTTTATATTTTACCTTTAAAAATTTTACATTAAATTTAGATTTAAATAACAGTACCATTTGGTTACCTGCAAGTCCACTCATGATGTTTGTTGCTATGATCGATTTTTAAAATACTTCCTGATATGCTATCGAGTGGAAATTTTGTACACACACTCCTTGTGGATGAGAATGTAATGTAGTATTTCAAAATTCGATTCAAATCTCTTAAAATTTAATGTTGAAATAATTTTTCATACATACCTTCATTTAACGAATAAATTAAAAATAGTAGATTTTTATTGTTTGCACCATTGGATAAAGCAGGCAAAAATCTTTAACATGAAATTTCTGTAAAATTTTTAATGTAATTGATTTTTTGGTGAATTTTAGAAAATCGCTAATTTTTTTCCAAATTATTTGGCATACATCTTTTTAAAATTTCAACCCCTAAAAATGTATCCCTCACAAAGTTTTGACATTTTCCCAGATTATAAAACAAATATTTTGCTCTCTTTTTCTAAACAAGATAGATGCTATGAAGTAGATTGGGAAATATTGGTTCTTCTTTCACTTGGAAATAGTTTAAAGTTATGATGTCATTATGTGCTTTTGAAATTTGCTTTACTATTCATTACCTAACATTAATCTTAGAAAAAAAAATTCAAGTTTAAGGATTGATTGATTAATTTTTAAAATTATTTGCAATGAACTCTTCCACATCATTTTTAATTTATTCATTCAATAAATTTATATACAAATTTCTCAGCAAAGATAGCAGAATATACGCTTTAAAGCATGGATTCATCCAAAATGAAGAAAAATACAAGCACACTCACAATCTTTGTTCTATTGAAAGGAGACAAACAGAAAAAAAAAAAAAAAAAAAAGAAAGCTGATGCCCACATAGAAAATGCTAAATACTTTCAATAAAAGAGCTAATTTGTTTCTTCAATGAATATATGTTACAAATATGGTGTATTTTTTAGCATAATTTTTTTTTATTTGCATACATATATTAGACAAAACTGTTAAATATGAAATGCTGAATTTCAGAAGCATCAGAATTTTGTTGTTTACATCTAAAAATGTACATGGATTGTGAACATCCGCAAATAAAGCACCAGCAGATTATTGGAATTATACTGTAAAACACGAGCTACAGGAATTATTAAAAATCTTCCAAAGCTTACATATCACATTTCTCTCTTCATAAGACAAACAATAAAATCCCTCTCCCCACAAAAAAAAATCAAAATGGAAAAACTAAAAGAAGTATTTACATAAACGTTTAAGTTAACTACTTCTGCAATATTTTAACAAAGTACAGCAATTTATTTATTTGTAATAGATCAGACTACTATTGAGCTTACAGTAAAAATAGGAAGATTACAGTAAAAATATGACAGTGAAACAGGAATTGTTTACGTTATTACAGTAAAACTAGGAAGCCTTTTTGAAAAAAATTCAAGAAAAGCATAAAATGAATTTGCACAAAAAACTATCTGAATACTTTTAAAAAGTAATAGATAAAGAATTCATATCACAAAAAAGAGGGGGGGGGGTCAGACTATCATCGCAAAAAAATTAATTTAATTTTTACATAATTATAGTAACATTTTTGTCCTTGCTAAAAATAATGCAAAAAATGTAATTTAAGGCATTCATTATCTTGTTTAAATTTCAGAATCAAGATGTTAAAAAATTGTCTAAATAAAAGATAAAAACATTCTGAAAAAGGTATGGGCAAATAAAAATATGTTTTTCTTCTAAAAAATATTTTATTAATTATTTAATTTTATTTTTAATTATTATCTTTATTGTATTGGCATCATAATGACGTTATTATATTTGTTTAAAAAATCCTACAATATTCAGAAGTCACCTAATTAAAATTTTTGTAAATAAATTGATCTTCAAGTCGTCAAATTTTGATAAATCATTAAACTGGGTTACAAATGACAAAATAATTTAAAAGAACTTATTTTTAATGTAGATAGCTTGAGGAACTCAAACAATCTACCAAAAGTATGAACTTTAAACACACATTCGTTGAGTAATCACAAAATTGGCCCAATTTTTTAGCACTTGCAAAAGACTGTAAATATCATAAAAATTAATATTACATATAAATTTATAAAACCGTAAGTGTTCATAAAAATAATGAAAAATTTGCAAAAGTTGGAGATATGCTATTCGATTCAGGATCACATTTGTTATGCAATGGTACTTTTGTTATCTTCACTATTCTCATTCTCTTCTACAATGTTTACAGCATTAAAGGAGATAATTTCTAAGTGAGAAATTTATGTTTATCTATAGCACATTATGTTTTTTTTTTAATTTAACATTTTTTGGTAAATACCCATGCATGAAATCCTAAAATATTATTGATTTTCATTGAATATTTTTTTCATCTAGGGTACACTGATTCAATACTCTAAAAGTGATAGTTCTGATAAAACTAAAGATTAAAAAAAAATTAAAAATGTATAAATTTCTTTTTATGTTATTAATATGAAAATAAAAAGTTTAGAAGGGAAGTTTATTTTATGAAAAATATATGCAAAAATAGTAACATTCTGGAAATGAAGCACAAAAAATGAGTTTTTTCCCCCTCTCTCTCTCTTTACTACCTGAAAATAAGTATAATAGTGGATTAAGTGAAAAATATTATCAAAAATACCTCTGCCTCATTAATTGTTAATTAAATTGTTAACTCAGTAAAAAACGAATAATCATTACAAGTATCTAGGAGACCACCAATAAACAGTTACAAAGAATAAAAACTGGAAGTATCACAGTATACTAAAACCCCGCAAAATCTACTGAAATCCCACTAAACTGAAATGAAGAAGTAAATTTAGTAAGTCATTTAGTAAGCTTGAAAAATCAGTCATTTTGAATTTTCTTAAATTGATTTTTATTTTCCTTGTTCTCACAATTCAAAAGTATACAGTCAAAAGTCGTTAATCCGGACTCGTCGGGACTTCGGCGATTCTGGATTATAGATCATCAGTTTAAATCTGGTTAAAAGGCATGAAGAAATTATAAAATTAAAAATATGAAACCGTAACTTACAAAATAAAGAACAATTATGATCTAAAGTGTATCAAAATTTACAAAAAAAAAAAAAAAAAAAAAAAAAAAAAAGCTTAATATTTATTTGTTTACTTTATTAAACATTTCTTTCAATGTAAGTTGTTTACGTTGCTTCGTTTTTTATGTGATAATACATTCTCTTTAATTCTATAAACATACATAATTTCTTGTTCAGTTACAAAGTTCCGCTGTTCAAGTCCTATAATTGCTGTGTCGAGAATACCGACTAATTTGTCAATCGAAATTTTTTCGTTTTCAATAACCTCTGTCACTTTCTTCGCTATTGGAAGCGAATTATAATGACGAGGCATCTGATTTAAATTATATCAAAGACGGAGTATATCGAAATGAAATACTACATTTAGTAAGCAATTATAAGCCAAATAAAATAAAAACATCTGCTCTGAAGATAAGGATAGTGCTGACAGATCAACTTCCAATTCATTGTGCGCGGCGTTAAAGATAAACAAAGTTTAGATAAACAAACGTTAAAGTTTAGATAAACAAAGGATATGCCTTTATCCATTTTTTGCAGCAATTCCACTTTTTGTTTAATGGACTCCGAAACATACTTTCGCTTTGTAGATCCGTTACATATTAGTAAATATAAATCGGAAATTCTATTTGACATAATCGAAAGTTCAAGCTTACTTTTATAAAATTGCTCTAACAGTCTGCAAAAAATAATAAGCCGGATCCAATTCGAGGATCAAGGAATAACGCAATCTGCAACATTAACTGAAATAGATAATTAGAGCTTAGCTCTTCAAGAATAGCATGCAAATACTGCTTATCTGCCATAAAATATAAGCTTTTCCTTTTAAGTTGTATATCATTTTCACGTGATTTAAATAATTTCAAATGGAAATTCTGAAGTTTTTAATCTCATTCTAATGCATCCAAAATAATATTATCAGCAAAAAATACTGTATGTATAAGTGAGCCAATTTTATTTTTAATGAAGAGCAATGATTTAACAAAATATATATATACAGTCAAAAGTCGTTAATTCGGACACCCATAATCCGGAATGATCTATAATCCAGACCTCAAAGCTCCAAACTTCGTGCGCATGTGTCGCGTTGACGCATGCGCGTAAGACCTTTACGGCTGCGAATATACGTGTGAGCATGCGCAAAATATGTTTATGGACAGTATAAGCTAAGCTAAAATTATCTAATTCAGTTAATATTGCAGATTGCAATGTTCCTTAATCTTCGAATTGGATCCGGCTTATTATTTTTTGCAGACTGTTAGAGCAATTTTATAAAAGTAAGCTTGAACTTTCGATTATGTCAAATAGAATTCCCGATATATATTAACTAATATGTAAAGGATCTAGAAAGCGAAAGTATGTTTCGAAGTCCATTAAACAAAAAGTGGAATTGCTGCAAAAAATGGATTTGTTTATCTAACCATTTTGAAATCTGTTTATCAATTTCACGCTGTTCCGTGGCAGGGAGGGGGGGACGCCAGTTGAGAGTATTCTTGATCTTGATGTATTTCTCCTGTTTCCATTTACATATTCATGAGACAAATCACTTATTTCCATATCCATGTTATTTATTGTTTATATGGGCAAAAAAATTTTTTTAAATGCTGTCTTTCTAGTTACACTTATTAGAAGAAATGTGTTGTCACGATTAAAAAAAAACATGAGTTACAAAACTCACAAAGTAAGAGTACACACTTTGTTACTGGGCGAACAACTACACATACAGTGTTTGAATAAGTGATAGTACCGCACCGCCAGATGAAGCGAAGCATGAAATTGAGCGCCATCTCACAGTGGAAAACATGAATACCAATGGCATCATGAACGTGTTACACAGAATTCTACTGTATATATAAAAATTTTTTAAAAAGGAAAGCTCAATATGAAAATTACTAGGCCTGCTATATGTTCTAATTAAAAGGAAGAATGTTTAGAGAATAAACACATACAGTTGTTTGCATCTCTAGTTCTAGCTTACGTCCAGGAAGGTGAAAAGTGTCAGCCTAGAAAAGGAAAAGAAGATGCAGAAAACATAAAGCATAAATACAGACAGCAGTTCAAAGAAAAAGAAATAATGATGAGGCTTTATTGCTTGCTTTAAGAAATTATGATAAAAATAATAGACATCATTTGTTCATTATTCATTCTTTCTCCTTAAAATTAAAACAAATGCCTACTTTGAGTTCAACTCTTTTAAACTGATCCAGTCCCAGACCTGTAAAAATAAATCATACATGATAGTTGTATTTACAGAATAAGACTTCCCACAAAATATTTCAAAACATTACTGCAGTTTAACAATTGTCATCCTTCATACACACACATACATACATATATTGTTGGATTTGGAACTCACAGCAGGACAGTTCTATAATCAAGTTAATTGGAACTCTAAATATTCAGTCTAACAACAGTCATATTTCATAAGAAACTCATGATAATACATGATGGTTCTTAAGTCCTTAGCACATATGGAAAATTAAATTACATAAGAAATATAAGTAACAGAAAGTTTGCATACTTAAAGCTTATAGATACTCTCAGCAATAATTGAAAAGTTTCTAGAAAATCATTACCAAGTTTTAATGAATAAAATTTTTGCTACTTGAAACAAATCTCACTAACATCAGTCTCAGGCTAAGTAAATTTCTAAATTTGAAATGTGAAACATCATTAATTGACTTAGTTACATTTCAAATTCTGCAATGCTTGTGACTGGAAATACACTACACTGCCAATAATGACCAGAAACACATCCCCACAAAAAGGAATGTGTTTACCTTAGGTTCAAACTGTGTTTCAATAATGTGGGTCTGTTACCGATTGATATCACAGCACAAAATTTTGATGAAAGACCTTTCAATTAAGTTTCTTTGTATATCTACAGATAATTTGTCTCATTTCTCCCATAGCATAGTGAACTGTTCTATTTTAGTTCTAAGACAGTTTGTCCTGGCTGTCAACTAGAGTTCCAACTGATTTCAAGCATGCTCAGTTGAGTAGAAATCACATTTTGAGCCAGATGGTCAAATTCATTATATTTCCTCAGACCCCTCAGCTACAACACTTGCTTTTTGAATGGCCATACTATGACAATGAAAGTCAAATGAACCAGTTCCAGCTTGTCGTTAATCTTTTAATTACTATGATCTTCACCTCATTATATCAGTTAAAGATTTTTCATATCTGGAGCATAGTGTCAAGTACACCACTCTAGTGTACTAAGTGTTATGTCAAGTACACCACTCTAGTGTACTAATTCACAACACATTCTCGTTATATTGGTCAGTAGTGATTTCCGCAACATAACAACTCTTATATTTAACAAAAAACAGGCAACAACAATGCATGCGCCATAATGTGAGCACCAGAAAAACCACAGTATTAACTGAGATATAGCTATGATTATAATTATATACACGCAGTTTCTACAATTCAAGTTACAGTTCTAAGTATATGAAATAATGTAACTAAATAAACAGTTAGAAAGTAAAAGAGTTCAAAAGTCCAACTACAGTTAAACTGCCAAAGCATCCCCCATCAAGTACTCTAGGTATGATTTAATCCTCACTGTGTCATCATATACAGTGAGAATTAAATCTCGCAAGGTCATTGAATCATTACTAGGAATAACTGGTGCAAACTGTTACTAGGAATAACTTGAATCACTGGTGATATGTTGTACAGAATAGTGAAGGCCAACTTCAAACAGTCAATTCCAATAACAGATTCTTTCTCATTTATCAAAATGTTGAAGTGTTTACCAATCCTTTTAAAAATGTGATAGAAGCCATTACATGGCTATGTCAATACGCACAAGAGCATGAGAGCAAGACTCTGTGGGGGGATGCACACAAACAGAAAGAAACTTCTAATTCTACATGTGCAGAAATAGAAACTGGAGATAATAATAAATGGTATTCATTATATAATTATGGACTTCTAGTATTTACCTAGAAATAAAACCGAATCCATCTGATTTTTCTAGATGATAAGGCCAAAAATTCAAGAAAATGCTAATTCTCAAAAAAATGAAACTGCACATCAGAAAAAATAGCATTTCATGGAAATGAAATATCAATAAGTATGGATAGACTATAAGAATGCTTGCTGGAAATTAGTTTGAATGTTTCTGTAAAACGCCAACGTTTTGGTATAATGGTTAGCAATGCTGGCTGCTATATCATTGGGTTTTGGCTCAAATCCCAGAGAAAGCATAAATATTTGCAAATGTATAGCATCAGGTGGAGGAACATGCGGCCTCCCTGAGTTTCTTTTGTGGCCTCTAGCTCTTGTATTAATATTTAATTATACAGATTACAATAATTTGAAAATTAATATAATAGCATGCTGCCACATATTGAGCATAACATAAATTAGAAGGATGCAATGCTCAGCTCAGAACAATTAATACAGAGTGGGAGTTAGATTATTTCTTTACTTCTTTTAAAGATAAAAGAGTGTGCTTCTTGTGCAGTATTATTGTTGTGGTAGATTCTTCGACTGCTTTCACTTGCACTTCAACTCAGCAGAGCCATGATGTAGCGCAGCTTGCAAAGCAGCAGACGACTGCTGGAAGTGCAAAGATTAAGACATGATCGACGCCCAGAGCAGATAACTTTGAGTTGCAAGATGGAATTGAAGCGGGCAGATGGCCCTCAGATCCTCCAAGATGCATATCTATAGCTAGCCATACAAGGACAAACGGGCCCTTTGAATGTATTTATTGAGGAGTGTGTGTTAGTGGTTACATGAATCCTGTAGAACTGTTGGACTTACTTTCATCGTGAGATTGCCATCTGAATTATTAACTTTTACTTTTTATCTTTATTTCATTTATTTCATATTAGTAAAATAAAGCAGTAATTATGCTTAACTTGTGCTCTACCATGTTCTTTTGAAAGTAAACCCCACATTATTAATGCACGAATTATAGCACGAATTAGCTCAAAATGTAAAGAGAGCAACTTTGTACAATTACTCAAAATAAAGATGTTTATTTTTAACTGCTTTAGATAAAAATGACCTGGCACAAGTTTTATATTTTATTCATATTGTAACTAAAGATTTTTCAGTATTATGAAGAACTTCTTATTCTGGGTAAATTAACCAGAACTCAAAGTTGACATTTTCAAAAACTTAGATAACTTTTCGAAAACTCAGAGAAGTACCTCAACGATTACAATTAAATGGCAGTAATCTGCTCAGTGTCTGCACCAATGGCACACCTTCCAAGAGAAATAAAAATGAAGGATTTGCTGCTTTATGATAAAAGGAAAACTTGAAAAACCCAATTATTATTTCACTACGTTCTGTATCAGCAAAATCTTTGCAAGACACCCTGGATAGAACTATGCAGTATCTACATAAATGAAATCGTCATCATGAATTTTGGCAGATGATAAATTTAGATGAAGAAATGTACAGTGTGTATCTACAAAAGAGATACAATGTTCATCTACAAATCCCTTTTTGATCTACTGTACAGTCAAAAGTCGTTAATTCGGACACCCATAATCCGGAATGTTTTTAGCTACCTCAAAGCTAAAAAATTTCTGCGCATGCGCCGTGTTGGCACATGCACACAGGCATTTTACGCGTGCGCATAAGACCTAGACTACTGCGCATATGCGTGTGCGCAACTGCAGAATACGTTTTCGCCTGCGCGTTTAATGTACAACGGACGAAGCTAAAATTATCTAATTGTCTATTTCAGTTAATGTTAATGATTGTGTTGTTCCTTAATCTTTGAATTGGATCCCGCTTATTATATTTTGCAGATTGTAAGAGCAATTTTATAAAAGTAAACTTGAAATTTCGATTATGTCAAATAGAATTTCCGATGCTGGAACTTCCAAAGGATCTACAAAACGAAAGTATGTTTCGATGTCCACCAAATAAAAAGTGAAATTGCTCCAAAAAATGGATAAAGACATGAAGAATGTGACAGAGAGGTTAGTGAAAACGAAAAAATTTCGATTGACAAGTTAGTCGGTATTCTCGGCACAGCAATTAACAGGACTTTAACAGCGGAACTTTGTAACTGAACAAGAAATTATGTCTGTTTATAGAATTAAAGAGAAAGTATTATCACATAAAATGAAGCAACTTAAACATCTTACATTGAAAGAAATGTTTAATAAAGTAAACAAATAAATATTAAGCTTTTTTTTTTTTTTTTTTTTTTTTTTTTGTAAATTTTGATACCCTTTAGATCATAATTGTTCTTTATTTCATAAATTGTGGTTTCATATTTTTAATTTTAGAATTTCTGCATGCCATCTTACGAGATTTAAACTGATGATCTATAATCCGGAAAAATCGATAATTCGGAATCGCCGAAGTCCTGACGAGTCGAGATTAACGACTTTTGACTGTACTACTGCAAGCTTTGCTGTCTATCAACAGGACACGTTTTGATAAAAGTTTTAACCTTGTGATGACAAATTTTAAAAATTTATCTGGAACAAGAAAAATTATATGATCTACCAGATGAACATTTTGCAGAAACATTGCAATTTTATCTGATATCATGACAAAACAAAATAATTTATATTTAACTGCAAGGTTAAATGAAGCATATATATAAAATGAGGGGAAAATACAAGCATTTCGAAAAAATTAACATTTTTCAAAACACTGCTCTCTTGCTCGGATATATCTACAGAACATTTCTCAGAGCTAGCAAAAATGTTGAATAAACAAAAATGTGAAATATTCAATGAATATGTAGAGGCCTTGGATTTTTTAACAGAATATACTGAAAGATTTTTCAGATTTTGCTGAGCACACTTCTGCTATGAAACTGGTATTTGACTGACTCATATTTACTAGATATATCCAAGGATCCTATGGATCTACAAATAGAGTTAGAGGAAACTAGTATCTTCAAATCCCTTTCTGATGCTGAAAAGCATCCAATTGAAATTTGGAAAAATGTTGTTCAATATCCATGCCTATGAGAACATGCATGCCATTTACCTTCCTACTTTAGTAGTATTTATTATTTACAAGTCAACATTTCCTTTTACGACAAAAATTAAAACTAGTTTAAAAATGCAAATTACAGGTGCTCATTTAGAGGATCCATTAAGTCTGCATGTTATGAAGCTCCATCCAGTTACTTTCAGTTAAATTCAGTTACTTTCAAGCAAGAAATAAACGCAAATACCCCATTAAATTTTCCATTGCATTTTAAGATTATTTTATGTACTGTTGCTATGTTAATTTTTTATAACTTAATATTATTATTTTTCTATTGTATTTCTTTACAGTGTAATCAATTTATTTAAAAATACTTCTACTAATATTATTACTATTTTCTATTATATTTCTTTATAATGAAATAATTTTTTAAATACTTTATTATTTTTATTTGAAGAAGAATATATAGTTGTTTATTAAAAAATATTCAAAGATTAATGCTATGACAAGTCTCATGTGGATACGAACATATTTCCAATTGTAACATTTTATGTTACATAATAGATAAGTCACTTAAAGGGTTTTTTAATATTATTTCTAAATAAAGTAATAAATTGATAAACCTATACAAAAACTATAGTAATTTCACAAAAGTCGCATTTATAGGTATATCAACTTATGTGGCTTCTTTCATTATTCCTAATTTAAATATGTGGCCTCTCATGGTAAGTAGGTTCCCCATCTCTGGTATAACATGTGCACAGCATGGGGGGCACAACTAGCCAAAAATCCTCTCAAGCAATTTGATGTAACGAGATGAAGGGTGAGAGATCCTAGGATCCATTCCCCAGAGTGTTCTCCGAGAAAACAGAGCTGAAGCTGCACAGCCAAAGCAGTCGGATTATATCTGTATCACCAATGGTGAAATTCTGACATCCTATGTACTTCCCCCCTGTACTGGCTACTATACAATATATATGACTGTCAGGATTCCTTTATTGTTTCTGTCAGGAAATATAAATTAATCAATTTGGGCTAAGAACTATAAAATAAGATAAAATTGCACTAAATTGAAATAATTATTAAAATAAATTCACATACTTGACAAAGAGGCAGAATACTAATAAAAAAACTGGTTGTTCAGTATACACTGTTGACATTAATGAGTAGAAAGCATTACTGTGACCAAATAAAATCAAATGGCTCACCAAAGATTGTTTGGTTATTTTAATTTGGCAAAATTACGAAATAGGGCTATCTGCTTAAGCAGTGATGCCTTGATGGAGGATTTTTTAAGAGAAACTAACTCAAATTCATATCACACAAGGGGAATGCAGCCATAATGCTGCCTGAGATCAAATTCAGGTTGGACTATTAATATTCAGTGGTCTTAAGCACTCAAGGCAGGTTCACCAAAGAGAACAAAACACACAATTTAATATGAATATTTTCTTTCTTTTTTTAAATTATGTTTATGTCATATTGTAGGGTTCCCCTTGGTTCACTAACCAGCTATTTTAATTTTGATATCTTTTCTGAATTCTCTTATTTTCCCTCACATTTCCTTGCCAGGATACAAATTAAGTAGGTGAACGAGAGTATTTAAGTGCATGAAACGAGAAGGTTAAACAGAGGGTGATTTCGCTAGTATAGTGCACGTTTGCTACTTTGTCCTCTAGCTATTAATCTTAGCTGCAAGTGAATTGAAGTTAAAAGATCACTGAAAATAACGATTACGTAGTAGAAGATGAGGAGAACTTTTAAAGAATCACAAAATTATTCGATAATCCAAGTATTTCTTTATTACTTGTTAACTGCTCATGGTATGGTAGATCACAGGAGGCCAATCTGAACCCTACAATTTTGATGATGACACATTACAATTTTAACAAAAACAGCCAAGCAAAAGACGTTCTTTGGCTAGCAAGCATACGCAAAGAAAGACAAGTAGGTGAACGAGAGTATTTAAGTGCATGAAAGGAGAAGGTTAAACAGAGCGTGATTTCGCTAGTGTAGTGCACGTTTGCTATTTTGTCCTCTAGCTATTAATCTTAACTGCAAGGGAATTGAGGTTAAAAGATCACTGAAAATAATGATTACGTAGTAGAAGATGAGGAGAATTTTTAAAGAATCACAAAATTATTCGATAATCCAAGTATTTCTTTATTACTTGTTAACTGCTCATGGTATGGTAGATCACAGGGGGACAATCTGAACCCTACAATTTTGATCATGACACATTACAATTTTAACAAAAACAGCCAAGCAAAAGACGTCCTTTGGCTAGCAAGCATACACAAAGAAAGACAAAAGGTAGTTGGATTGCAACAGTATTTATAGTAAAATGTTTCATTAATCTTATTGACTAAAACTTATAGGCAATACAGAAGTTTAAGATGACATAATATGGGGTTAGTTTTCAGATATGATGAAGTTTTGAGAAGTTATTACTAGACAGGAAGTACTCAAATAAAAAAATGAGCAATTAAGAGGCTTTAAAAATTATAATTTTTACTTACATCTTTTTTATCTTACATATATATTACAATATTATATATGTAAGATTAATATTGCTTGCTAGCCAAAGGACGTCTTTTGCTTGGCTGTTTTTGTTAAAATTGTACATCTTTTTTTATATTACATATATAGTATATATATGTAATAAAAGGAAATTTCAGAGAAGTACTGACGTAAAAATAGAGAGATGTAGAAGCATATAAATGCTGATTGCGAAGATACTTGATACTTAGAACATAGAATCCGTAATGACTAAGAAACTTGGCAATCGAGGTGGTTTTGATCCCATTTTTATTTCCAGTTGACATTTGTGGCCACAATCACTTGACACTCTAGTCATGCCTACTCAAGAACATTTACATTTTTTATATTGTTGAAATAGGAAACAAGCATAGCGAAATTATCCAATATGGAAGGCTGTTAAGAGAAGGATTTTGATTTAAGTTCTAAAAGTTTAGGTTCCCAATTAGCTACGTCATCAGTATTACACAAGCTTCATGGTATAAATTCATCTACAAATGACACAGTCCAGAAATATTATTATTTTAGATGAAGACAGAAGTTAAAGGGCTATTATTAATTTATTATTTGAAAGATAGATATTTTATATTTTACATACATATAGCTGAATTAAAATCATTATTTAAAGCTGCTATGCATTTTTTATTCTTGCTTTTCTAACACGTATTTCAATCACATCTAAAGCTGAATTAAAATTTATATTTGATTTAACAATGTCACTGACTTCAGAATGATTTTTATTAATCCCTTAATAATATCTAAACTGGTATTTGATTTTCATTGAATAGAGAATAATGTTTGAATAACATGTGAAGATTTTTCTTAGTTTATATTTTAAACATAACCATTAGTTTACCAAGAACTATAGCACATAAGAATTGGAAATTTAGAATATACTCAATTATAATTAAAAATAAATGTACCTTCTGGTTGTTTAACACCAGGTGTCAAAGATCGTAAAAAGTCTTCTGGAGTCATAAATATATCAGATTCACCATGTTCATTATATACTCTGAGTGTTGCAAAATATCGAAATATTTTATCTGGAGTAGAATAAGCCCGAATGCGATTTTCATATTCAATAATCTGTCAATTAAACATAAAACAATTAAACAAAAATGAACATAACAATTAAAAATAAAACAAGCCAAAATGTGCAAAGCTATTACCTTTGTTTATCCTTGTGTAAAGATATTTAATTTATAATACAATAAGAAAAATTTATTCACCATGAAATGATCAGGTTCATCTAACTATAAATAAATGAAGAACAATACACAGACTGACAGAAGTAAATAACAGGCACAGACAAATAAGTATCTGAAGATGCATACCTCTCGTATTAAATTATTTATAATGAAATGCTCTTGTTAATCCTCAAGTTCTCTAAAGATTTCACTCAGAAAAGCCCAGAGTTCCCCCAAAACATGATCTAAAGAACTATTTTCTTGATCACAATTTCAAAATATGGCTTCTAATTTACATTTAGACTCTTTTTATTTATAGTATAAAACATTATAGTATAAACATCCTTAATATCTTTATAGTATAAAACATCCTAAATGGTAGTTTGAATACATTTCAAGATACATGTACACCTAATTATTTAAAACTAGTAAAAATATTTTTAGTTCTACATATACAGACTAGCTGATTGAAGGTTTCAATTAAATGAATAATAACTACAATTTAAAAAAAATGGGGGGAAAGGAAAATGTGAAAGGTTTCAGAATCACAACCCACAACACGATTAAAGGTAGAAGTTCAGATTCAATCATCAGGCATACAAAGAATGCTTGACCAGTTTGCAGGGAAGATGCATTAATCAGGAATTCAAAATTCATTTAATTATTTTTTAAAGTGTACTTGTTTAATTTAAAAGCTCTGTCTAATTCATACTGCTGTCCACTGGTTCAATAGGAGCAAGTACATCGTTCAGACATTGAATTTCTTTTGTTTTATCACACAACAACAATATATCTCTGTGCATAAAATGAAATATGTTCTTGTATGCTGTCATTAAGTATATAATTAACCCTTAATAGTATCAAATACTTATAGTTAATTGATACATTTGAAATTAAGCTGAATTCTAAAAATACAGAAGTATGATATTTGATCTTATAACAAATAATTTACTTGGTATAAATCTTGTAATAAAGTGTTTAAGGTAATTTCTAAAATTAAACTTGCAAAATTTTAATTTCTAATTTCGACTAAGAGTAATGTATGTTTTACGCATGCGCGTGTTGAAAGAAATGTTTAATAAAGCAAAGGAATAAAAATTAAAATTTTTTAAAAAAATTTTGATATTTTTCATAATTGCTCTTTATTTCATAAATTACGGTTTCATATTTTTAATTTTATAATTTCTGTTCTGTGATTCTTTCAACCCTACAATGCAAAAATAGATTTTCCCACCAGATATTCTCAAAGAGAAAAATATTATGTTATTCAGAAAGGTCCCTATTCAGATATAGTAGCTGTAAATTTCATAAAAGGTAATTTTTTTCTTTTTTCTCTGTAGCCCAATTGCAAGGCATTGATGAAGATATAAAGGACATACAATCTGTGATCAACAGATCTGGTGAATGATCAATTTCATAATTTACTTACAAAAAAGGTGTTACATGTATGTAGGAAAACAGCTTATTGCCCTTCCAAATAATTGCTTCCCTTGCTTACACACTTCTCAGAATGCATGAACTTCTCACATACTTTGGGTTAAGACAGCCTGTGTGAGTTTAGCATTCAAATTGTATTAGATATCAGCAGTATCACAGAATTTCTGTCCTTTTACGTTTTCTTCAAGTGAGGGAAAGGGAGATAAATGGCAGGGGCGAGATCTGATGAATAGGAGGTGAGATGGAGCATAACAAGCCTTTATGTAATTGGAATTTCTACATGGTTATGCATGCCAGAAACTGCTACATAGTTATTACAGAGATATGAGAGTGTGCATTATCGTGCAGCAGGTACCTGTTCAGTATATTGGTGTCACAGATGTCTGATCCTCTTCAGAAAGCACTCTAAGTAGCTGCATTCAATGTTGTTGTACCTTCTGGCAGGCATGCTTATGTTAGGTATACAGGTATGCTTTTTAGATTTTGGTGACCTGATACCCATGCCACTCCTTCTTTGCCTTTTCAATTGTGGGTTGCACCACTTCAGATAACATGATTCACCAAATGTAATGATCTATTCAGGAAAGATAGGGTTACTATCCACTCGTTGATAAAGTTTCCACATACCTCCATCCTTTTTTCTGATCAGAAATAAGGCCAGTAGATACTAACAATCTGATCAGTAGACACTAACCATGCACAGGATTTATGCTCACATAACCTTTTAGTTAGTCGATTATCTTTGGTGAAGAAATCATTAATTTGCTCAATGTTTTTGTTGGTACACAGGGTGAAAAAAAGGGGGGACAGTTCTATATCTCCCGTTTTCCTGGGCCGATTGACAAAATTCAAATTTACTTTTTTCATATCTCGAAAGTGCGACTTTGGATATACGTAGGGGAGTCAACTGAAAACCATAAAAGTACAAATAAAAATCCGCATATGGCACCAGTGAGCTGTAAGTTGGCATGCCTGTTTGCGATAGTATGCCAGATGTCTCCTAGGTGGCAGCAGCTGGCAGATGCACAAACACCGGCGCAACAACAGTTCCAAAATGGCAGCCCCACTAGCCACATGCACCAGCGAGGAGCAGCGTTCTGTGATTCGGTTTTTGCGAAGTGAAGGTGTGAAACCGACTGACATTTTTAGGCAAATGAAGGTTCAGTATGGAGATGCATGTTTGTCACAGCCACAAATCTATGAATGGTGCCGGAAATTTGCAAATGGTGTAACGTCCGTGGCCGATGCTCCACGCCCCGGCCAGGCTCGCCGCATAGTGACTCCAGAGACCATTTCAGGCGTTGAAGCCATCGTTTTGGAAAACCGTCATGTGACAATAGACGAAATTGCAGCATGTGTACACATGAGTCATGGATCAGCACATCATATTGTGCATGATGTTCTCCAGTTTCATAAGGTGTCTGCAAGATGGGTGCCCCGACAACTGACGCCTGAACTGAAACAGCGACGTGTTGATGCGTGCAAAGACCTTTTGTGGCGTGCTGAACGTGACGGTAATGCTTTCCTGTCACGAATCGTCACTGGTGATGAAACATGGGTGCATTACCATTAGCCTGAAACAAAGCGAGCGAGCAAGGAGTGGCACCACTCCTCATCACCGAAACCCAAAAAGTTTCGGACACAGCCGTCTGCAGGAAGGTTATGCTGACCCTCTTTTGGGACGAAAAGGGCATCATCTTGGAACACTACACGCCACGAGGAACCTCTGTGATGAGTGCTATGTACTCGGACCTCCTAAAAAATCATCTCCGGCCTGCCATCAAAACGAAATGATGTGGATTGCTGTCAGCCGGTGTGCTGCTGCAACACGACAATGCACGGCCCCATACGGCGCATGCAATGGTTGCGATGCGGTGCAGAAGTGGTTGCGCCGTCACCCAAAAGACTTTTTTTCTGCAGGTGTTCAGGCTCTTCCGAAGCGCTGGCGGACTTGCATTGAACGAGGAAGGGACTATGTTGAAAAGTGATTTACTTCTGTACCCTGTGTGACTAATAAATAATATTAAAAAAAATAATTATGGTTTTCATTTGACTCCCCCTCGTATATTATATTTATATATAGCATTGTTCTAACATATGTATTTTGCTTCACAATTGGATTTTTTCTGAAATAACATACCAATTTTTTTTTTCATATTTCAATTCTACAACTGAAATTATGCCTAAATATTAATTTTGCAAAATTTGGTGCGGAATTTATGGAGAAATTCAAATTTTTATCTTGGCGCAAATTTTTCATGAATAATTCACTTGCCGAACTGCTTAATATATGGCAACCAATTTTCCTTTCCCTGCCATTACACCGGAGTAGAAAAAAAAAGGCACCTCGTTCCTATCTTTTTACATTGTGTAAGAGTGAAAAAAACTCACATCATTCCTACTTTCAAACAATTTTAGCAAAGTGTCTACACCACATTTGATATTTTATCGCCTTCAACAAATATGCCAAATTTCAAAACGTGCCAATATATAAATTCACATATATCTTCGGAAATCTTAAATAAAAAACTGTAATTTTTTTGCATGTATGCTTAGAAATATGTCTACTTTAAGATGAAGGTAAAATTTTTATAGATTATAAGTCAAATTTTTTTTGAAAAATTCATAAAAATTACTTTAAAATACAAATTTTAAAAATAAATCATAAAAAATGGGTGAATTTTATTTGGAATGAACCCGAATTTCGAAATGTGAAAGGAAGAATAGAACAAGTTTAATAAAAAAGAGAGATTAATAAATATATACCAAACTCAATTAACATGGAGGAGCTAAAATTTAGAGCGAATTTTTTAAAAACTACTCCTGCAGTTTTTACAAAACTTGGTAGTTTGGCATAATTTGAGCCATAGAATTGAAATATGGAAAAAAATTGGTATGTTATTTCAGAAAAAGTCCAATTTTGTGTCAAAATGCCTATATTAGAACAATGGTATATATAAATCTAATACATATCCTACGTCGCAGTTTGGAGACATGAAAAACGCAATTTGAATTTTCTCAATTGGCTCAGTAGAAAGGAAGATAAAAAACTTTTTTTTTTTTTTTTTTTTTTTTTTTCTGCACAGTGTACAAGGCCTCACTTAGACAATGCACATCTTTCACGCTGCCCTGACTGTAATGCAAATGTTTGTACCACTTGTACACACTTTTCCAATACAGCACTATTAACCATATACATAGTACAGCATGTAGTAACATTCCCTCGTTATTTTCCAATTTTTTTAAACAGAATTTCTCACTCGTACGTTGCTCCACTTCACACTTAACAGTGCTGCTGCACTACAAAGGGTTCCATGACACAAACTGCATAAACTGCATGTCTGGACAACTATGAGACTTCTCAAATGATGACTGACAGAATTGGGTTTCACTGATCTGACCTTCAAGCAGCAATACCAAATACATTGCAAAACAGCAATTAATTCACAATATTTATTGATC